ATCACCTCTGCCTTCTCTATATTCACTTGAAGTCCCGTCTTCGCTGCCTCTTCTGTCAACTTGTTAGTTTTTGCCTGATATGTTCAAATATTATTAATTTCTCTGAGTACGTATACTGATCAGGTGATTTGTTTTTATACATTTAATCTACTAAGAGAAACGCATATATTAGCATAAAGGCGAGGTTAATATTTTATCCGGTTAAAATGTTGTTTTCCAAATATCATAAATGAATGATTACTGGATGGTGATTGAATGTGGAATGAAAATCTGGACTGTGGCAGGATTCGAACTAGCGACCATCGGGTTTCCTACTCGATTTTCTACCAACTGAACTTTGACCACCCGATCTCATCTCCAATTATCACAGAGTATAAATACTAATCTGCCAAACTACGGCTATCTCAGATAGTGAAAATGTTAATAAATGAGTCGGTTATGAAAAACTGGTCTGTTCACTTATGAGATCCGACAAGAATTATCTTTCTGTGAGCCACAATTGAAAATCCTGTTCGAGGTCTTTTGGATCTGGAGTTAAAAATAGACACTTCTGATGAGCTGTTAGATAAATTTATTGGCCAAAAATCCTTCTGTCTGGGCATGGAAGGCATTTTCACTTATCTGGCTAACCATATCAGCATCCTTTGGCTTAAGTGCTCTGTGTAGTACCGTGAAATATCCATGGACAATATTTTCTGTCAACATGTTTCAGTAAGGTAACTTTAGAAGTTCTGTTGTCAAAGGTCTAATTGAATTTAATCAGTTAACTTGACCGAATGATGATTCTAAAGCGACTGATGGGATTAATCTTCATCTTCCAAGAAATCTTGGCATTCTACTGGTCAAAACCTACTAATCTTTCATTATTCAGGAATCAAACCTTTGTGAACGTAAGTAGCGTAATCAACGTCTGCCTTTGCGTTTATTATACACTTGGGTTGCTCACCGCTTACCCAAGTCTTTACACATTTTATGTTCTTAAGTATCTTCAGTGACCGACGAAATCTGTAAACGTATATAAATGACTCGTTTGGCTCTTATCAACTTACCTCATACATGGACATTATGTGATATCTGATCGCCTATTGGGCGTAAATTGTACTGAAAAAGCAGTTCACTCTTTCATACTTTATGGTTTTGAAACATTCAGAGGATATTAGAAGGCTTAAGATATTCTACTACCATTTCTTTTCTAGTTAAGGAAGTGTCACGAAACCATCACGTTAGTAATATAGAAGTCAAGGGTAGACTCTTAGGGTAAGAAAATAAATCTGTTGATAAGATTCTAAGCCTTCGTCGACTTAGAATTATGCTACACACATCTAGTCATTTCCTACCACATCGCAAAATGTTGGCTGAAGTAGGTCTACTCTGGAAATAGGTCAAAAGCGCTTAGACTTAATTATGACATCAATTGATAAAGTCTCTGACAGTCAGTCCGAGCAGTGAAGCAGAATGTGAACTTGCCGGATGCGGTACATGCGGCAACTAAAATTTTTAGCTGGAGAAAGGAGATAAAATGGCTCAAAATCGATATCAGTGGTGCATACGCATGGACACACTATTGTTTTTTAATTGTCGCACCACATTTTACCATTTGTTTTACCCCTTCTTAGTCTCTCATGACTATAGAACTTTCGATTACATTCCCCCTTATTGGTTCAAGACTTCTTATTGTTGTACTATATCATTATATGTTGATTTCAGACACGGTAACATGAATCGTTACGCAGTGATCTTATATCACACGTTGACACTGACTTAACTACTAGCAGTGCAAAACTTTTCACTGAGTTAATGTTTTAGTGTTATTTCTCGTATTACACCGTCATTGATTGGACAGAATTGATCAAACTCTGTTGGTATACAGGCTTCTGTGCGGATGCCTCGATATTGCCTGTCTTTTAACTATGTATAGTAATGATGGTGTAATACAAGCAATAACAATAAACGTATGCCCGTCTCACAAGAAGTGGATATCGTAGCTCGGTGGTGTAGTGGATAACGCTGTCACGTTTGAAGAGGTCCCTCTCGAGGCCCGGTGGAGACAACACTAACGGGGAGGCAGGTGCGTTCAGTTGACGAGTCCTAAATTGGACGAAATGCGCATTCTGGATTCCGCTGCCATCATTACTGTGCAGAAGTGATGTTTTATTGTTTATACTTCAAGTTTTCATGGGAAATGAAACACTCAATAGGATCCAGGTTCATTCACCTGACGAGTCTTGAACACGCATCCTACTTTTAACTTTCAGTTATACATTAATAAGCACTATCAGTAATGAGGTAAAATTTAAAAATAACTAATTGTATGGATGAAAAAGGGTATTGGTCCTCTTGTATATCGAACGAAGAACCTAGTCAAGTGGAGTGATAGTACTAAGAGTAGATCCATATATCAGCATCAGATTATTTTATTTTCTATTATTTGTCCCTTGGGTATCTAATGGAACATACGGATTCAGTAACACGTCTCCATTCCACTATCCACTTCTCCACAAACTTTTCAACCTGGTCCCACGACTGCCCACAAGTTCTCATTTATTCCTCACACCATCTCCTCCATATCAGTTGAGACGTCCAACCCGTCGTTTCCCATCTGGGTTCCATTAGAGCAACTGACCTGGTGCGTGATGTCCCCAGTAGGCCTTCTCACTGTATGCCCAATCCAACCCATCTCCGCTTCCTTCCATTGCATATTTGTTGATCGACAGCTTCTTGGTTGGTTCGTCTCCAATCAGAGTTCCTTGTTGCTTATTCTTATTATTCTGGCCATCCATCTGATCTTCAGTATCGAGTGAGTGTAGGCGGTAGTTGTTGATGTATGTCTGTAGATTATTGGAAATGGCTTTCATAACCCGTCAAGTCTGTGAAGCATACAGGAGCATTGACATGAGTGAGATTGATGTTGAAAATCTGGATGTTGTTCACGCTTTATGCTGATTGCAGTGTAGAAGATCTGCACACTGGTTTCAGGTTAATGGAAGCTTATGTTGCTGTCTTTCCGATCCTGGCTGGCTTTGATATCCTCGTCTGTGCCTATGTCACTTGTAGTTGAAACGATGCTGCCTAGATAAGTGAAGGAGGCTACTTCCTTTAAGTTTCTCCTGTTGATGGTGATTGAAGCTTTTTGTTGTTGTTGGTGGGGTTGATTGGGTATCATCATCACCTCTGTCTTCTCTGCGTCCACTTGAAGTCTTGTCTTCGCTGCCCTAACTCCTCTGTCAACTTGTTAGTTTTCCCCTTTAGATCTTCGAGTTTGTGCCACATTAGACATAAACCATTGGCGAAATCCAAATCTTCTAGGTTCTTTTCCGCGGTTCATCGCAGTCAGATAAATTATCCTAATCCACATGGAAAAATTAAACTTGGGTGTAATGGAGCAATCAAATTTAGCGCAGGAAAAGACACGTAAACACATTCGTAGGATGAAGATATTAGCTTTACTCCTCATAAAAGTTCGACCTGAAATCAACAATAAACTCACATCTAGTGTTATTGATTGTATTATGCTGTCATTGACTGAACAGAATTGATCGGTCTCTATTGGCATATGGGCTCCTGTGCGGATGCCTCGATATACCTGTGTTCAAGTCATGGTCCCAAACAGGAGAAAATGCGCATTCTGGATTTCACTGCTGGCCACTATCGATCTTTACTAAAACTGACATCTATTTATGAACAACTGATAATGATAAGCACTGCCAGCAATTTCTCAGTAGCATTTACGACTAAAATTATAAATGTTTACGATCACGCAGATGTGCAATTCTAAACAAAAAGAGTAGTGTTCGTTAGATGGAGACAATCGGTAGGAAGCTCTGTACCAAGGCTTCTTGCTTTTTCGTAATCATCAACAGGGTATATCTGCAATTACGATGGAACTGACTTTCCACCTGAGATCCAAACTTAGGTCGACCAATGCCTCAGTCACGGTCGTTACCGATGAGATATTTAGCGGAGATTAGAATCCGTTTAACAAGTTATTACTCAACTTTACATAAAAATAAATCAATAAGTGAGTGTTAGAGTTAGAGAGTTCTGAGCAGGGCCTAACGAGTACACTGCAACCGACAGCTAACCTTAACTAAGCAAATTATACACTTGTTACTTTACAACTATGGCACTGTAGGACCTTGTGCACAAGCTATTTTTTTTATCAGTTTCGTCATCACTGTAGCAAAATACTTGTGATATATCAGATCTAGAAATTCAAACTTCCCAAAGACAATCTACTGAGCGTAATAGAAACCAAGGTGTCGTCTCAAAATGGAAGATAGTTTGTAATTTACTGTTGGGGATATGGTTTCCTTATTACCTTAAGTGACTAGTGATATTGTTGTGGTAGTCGTTACTAATTTTGAGTGCCCTACACTCAGCGAGACGGAGCTTCACAAGCTAGTTTCAGTAGGAAAGTCAGGGACTTGGTTAATATTTGATACGTGCCATAACCGGTCACATATGGGATTGGACCGTACACATCAATTGCTCAGAAAGTGATTATTGACATAGAAATCGAGTCCTTGGTATTCAGCACTGCTTGATATCTATTATAGAGGAAATGACAGTTTCCGCGGAGTGACAGTTACACCCTATTATAAAGTACGAACAAGTAGGCAACTTAGGTCAAGCAGAGCATCTCTCTGATCGACTTCCTAAGTTTAACATGAAAGTATGGGTCACTACAATGTCGCATCACTAAGCCTAGTGACCACATTGTAGAGTCGTCCAACAGACTTTTGTCCCTGCTGAACACTGGAGACTAGACAGCTACATAGGCTGCTCACGGATAACTAGCGAAAATATGAGAAACGTTAGATTATATTAAGCGATGGAGTACAGGGTAGATAATTCTTTCTTTAGGAAAGTCTCCAGGTGGATTCGCTTGAATCCATTTTGCAATCTGTAAGCTAAGATATTCCTATTACCCGTCAATTCGAACATCTAAGTGTTATCCATTTAGATATCCCAAAACAGTAGTTGGTGATCAGCTATGCTCATTATTCAGCTAAACGAGAGACTGAAAGATGAAAACTTACACGATATGTGGATTTCGCATCCTTCAAGTTTATTGCTTCATTTGTTGTAGAACAAGCCAATCTTGGATAGGGACCAGGCCAGCAACAAAGATTTTCTTCACTGAAGTATTTACTGACATTAAATGACTTTTTATTCCATCGTTTTTGTTCTCTTCTGAAATTTGTATAATCCCGATAAGTCATACTGTTTGTTGATATCCACTTCTCGCCATTGTCATCATTATCATCAAAGTGAACATGATTCAATGAAGTGTAAAAAGAATCTTTAGATGTTTGATGCATAATACGACTACCAAATTTCGATACTTCAGCGTTGTTCTCTCGGTGTTTATTCTTTCTCAGTGATGCTTTATCCTCCAATAGGCATAAATAACTTCCACCATGGATTGGATCAGATCTAGCTGATGTAAACCTACCGAGAGCATACGAATCAACCAGTCTATTAGTAGGTAGTAGAATCATTCCCTTCTGTGCCGAATCTTTTGTCGGTTAAAGTCTAGTTGAAAACACCTGCAGTACACCCAATCAGTCAGATTAGCATAATGAAAATAAATAAACTAAGTGCATAGTGATTCTGTATTGATTAGTTTGTGGTTTAGAGTTTTAATCGTAACACAGTTGGATATTACTATACAGAACTCAATTTTATGTCATATTTATCGAATATATATGGTATACTTCAAAACACCTTGTTAGGTCAGCAGAATAAAAAAAATCTTGAAAAATTCAATTCTTCAAGGTGAACTGATATGATACAATGGTCCAATAAGACAGTCGCTTACATATCTTGAAGTTTCACAGATGACCGAAGCTTGTTTACCATGTTTTCAAAAGCTGGCATTAATGAATTCCTATACCTCAGTACCTTTTTTTACTGTTAGCAAATTATAAGTCAGAAAAACCAAGTTTATTTGTTCCATACCAAACAACGACATTCAAAGGGATTAAGTTCATATATATCCTCAAATTGAAGAAACCAACCATCTTTACCACATTTAAAGCAAGGGATTGGCTGGATCTACAATATGGGAATCCACCAAATACCTGGAAATGTTCTACAAAGTCTGTAAGTAAGCGTAAAGATATCAACTGTTGTATTCCAGCTCATGAAACCAATATGTGTAAGCTATAATTATTACATTGTCAACTATTGTATAAGGAGTAAGTTTTTTAAAATATTACCTGCTGAGAATTCCATATTGCATAGAAGGTGTTGCCGTCATTATTCTACTCCTTAAAATAGTGGTGTCTACTTAGAACTACATCCTTCAAGTGTACTTTTACCTAGGAATACATTTTGTTATCAGTATGGTCTCTAACCAATACCAGTAAGCTCATATTTCGTATACTTACTTAATTTACAAAGTACTTCAACTATACCAATGAAACCTAGTTTACTGACACAAAGCGTAACAAAGAAAAAACGGAAAAGAAACAACTTTCTCGGAAAGTTGTTGAATACTCGATTTCTCTTAATCAAGTAAATGTGGTGTTTTCACTGGGGTTAATGGAGTTCTATTGCTTGGTGGTCAACAGCGTTCAGATTACACCACCTAAGTGACAGTAATATCAGCACTGCTTTTCTGCAGTGCATAAACTAATATTATGTTAATATACTTGTAATTCTGCTTTGTTATACTGGATCGAATTGTTCGACTGAAAAGCGTATACTGGATTTCAGTGTTAGCCACCGCCAAATAAATTATAACATTTTGTAAGCCTAATTCTATCCGCTGAAGGCGCTAAATAGTATTAATAGTTATCAAGTAACCGAGAGCTCTTCAAGTTTTAACGAATCTGAAACGATCTAGAGTTCTGGAGCCGATGAAAGTTGGTTTAATCCTAAACTATAATACTATTACAAACCTTCAGTGGTAGAATGTGAGACTATGCCCTGTAAGACGTTCAAAACGCCACCATATCTATTCTAGAACCATATAGAAAAATTGAAGATCTTGCGCTTTTCATATGAAAATAGTTCTTGTATATTATTTTCGATTTTTATCGCACAATTTGAAGAACGTTTGCATAAACGCTTTTTAGTTTAAAACAGTAGCTGTTTTGGTGATTAGTCGTGGGTAAACCTTCTGTAGAAAGGCAAGCGGAATAGCGATGAAACTGGGGGATAGACTAAAGGATAAAGTGTACAGCAAACGCTTTTGCAAGCTGAATGTTTCATGATTAACTACCATTGGACGACTGGAACCACTAAACCTAACAGATATCTTAGTTTTATAAACTTCATGATTAAAAATTGACCCAATATAGCTGAACAAGTTGATCATTGTGTAAGCGGATTATCCCATTGAGGTAAAAAAAGATTTCTGACGGTTGGCAACCTCGTGGAAGCCACTTCCTCAGAGAATAAAACCTGTACAAGAGATCGTATGTTTAAAGACTGAATGGGAACAAATCAGATGATATTGTTGATATATGATGGCGAATGAAGTAGGAATAAATGTTATCGTTATCAGTTATTAGTCTGTAGGTCAAAGTGAAGGTATGAATGAGTGTAAAGCTGTGGAAGAAACACAACTAGATGATGAATTCAGTTTGTTTGTGTGTCTGTGTACTTTTGTTATGACTAATGTGTGTGCAATGTGTTACTTCGGATATACTGTTCAAATTGCTTGAATAGTTAAGGCATTTCTCCATTCTATTGAGTGCATAAGGATTCAACATAGGTTGAAATGTCTCAGCGATTCATCATTCCTTGTAGTTTGGAGATCTTTTTTAAATAATCTTGATATTTTCAATGTCAATTTTGTAGATGTTTTGTGTAACTTAGATGTTTTTCAAAAACCAAATAATGATAAACCATCCCACAAGATCATCATTCGTGCTAAAGAACATCCAAGTTACACAAAGCATCCTTCGAATAATCTTGTAGAAGTGGACAATTTACAGATCAAATCAGCAATTTCTGTTCATGCCGTCTAACAAATCCTCAAAATTAATATTGAAAACATCAAAGTTATCTAAATCGAATCTCCAAACTACACGGAATGATGGATTACCGAAGAACTTTAAATTATAAAACAGAAGACGTATAAAAAAGAGTCACTCTTTTCACCGATATCATTCTCCAGTTGTACAATCGCATATAAATATTCTGTTCATATAGTAGTAGAAAAGGAATTTATCATGAGCTATTATGAATCAAGTTCACGGGAGATCGAAAAACAGGAATTATGTAGTAGTAATGATGAATCGTGGCTAGCAGTGGAATCCAATATGCGCATTTCGTCCAATTTGGGACTCGTCAGCTGGATAACGCTCTGGCATTTGAAACGATCACTCCCAAGTCCGAATCCCGATTGGAACAAAATCATTCACCGGGAAGCAGGTACATCCAGCTGACGAGTCCCAAATAGGACGAAATGCGGTAATATCGAAGCATCCGTACAGGATCCCATATGCCAATAGAGACCGATCAGTTCGGTCCAATCAACTATGGTATGATATAAAAACAACTATACTAGGAATTATGTAATATTTGGAATGGTAATGAGACTTATCAAGACGGAATTAATGTTTGGTTACTACAGTAACGATGGGTAGTGGCTAGTAGTAGAATCCAGGATTCATATTCCATCCATTTTCAGGATGTACCTGCCTCCCACGGGGATTCGGACTCGGGAGCGACCGCTTCTAACGCGAGAGCGCTGTCCACTAGACCACCAAGCCACGATAGTCATTTCTTGTGTGACGGGTATAGTTTTAGTGTTATTGCTTGTATTATACAGTGTAGTGCAAGCAATAACACTAATTTGGTAACTATGTTAAGTGTTCTTATAGGTTATGTCCATTGCAATTCAAGTGACTGAACAAAATCCTTTTGAACATAGAGTTGAGGGTTCAAAATATTAATCGCCATAGCCTCTACAGTTTGAAGAAGTTTTAGGTGTACACCTTTCACAAGGTTCACACTAACTCTCCAGGTGACATTGAAGCTATTTTCTGCATTCGCCACGTGGTCATTATTCATCAAATGTTTTAAAATTGAGCTACAAAGTGTGGAACCAAGCTAATATTTATTTGGAAAGCTAATGCTGAATACAGCCAATATATCTTACTCTACAGAAGTGGATGAATTGATAAACATGCATCGAAGTGGCCAAGGGAGCCAGCTTATCCTTTACGCATAATCGAAACAATGGGTGAGTTTGGCAACATAGAAAGTTTTTCTGAATGATCATGTTAGATGGTTTCTCAATATATCTGCCGATGTAGCTCCGTTGAACTCTAAGTTCAAATTATGTTGAATCCTAATGCATTCAACATAAAGGAAGAAGGTCTAACTATTCAAGCAACTTGAATAGTATATCCGAAATAACACAATGCACACACCAGTCAGAACAAAAGTATATAGACACAAACAAGCTGAATTCACCATTCAGTGCATTTTTAAATAGAGCAAGAACAGCACCTTCAGCATGGTAGCAAGGACCCATTTTATCTCGTGGTTTCTCATCAGCTGCTTACAACCTATAACAATTTAACATCAGTTTATGCAAAATGTTTGCGTACTTGAGTCCGCTTGACAGAAAATTGTCGGCCTGAACTAAAGATGTCATCGGTACGAAGTAATTGAAAACACACGAGATGAGTGAATGAATATGTAGGACCAAGTTAGTCAATCTACATAAGGATTAGAAGAATATTCCAAAGCGAAAGCTGGATAACAGGGGGTAGTGATAAGCGTATTCGATGTATTAAGGTCGTATAGAGGACGAACAATTTTATCCAATAAAACAATGGAGAATTACAAGTACATATCAATAAATAGTATTAATAAAGCTTATACAAAATGTGTGAAAGATCATAAGATCTATGTTAACTATGTTAATCATTTCGGAGCTACCGCTTCAGCGAATCGTAGAAAAATTTGAACTCATGTTTATGAACTATTTCGAACGACATCTGAATATCGACCAAATTCCTATTAACTATCAATAAGGTGACGAGCAGTAGCGCTGTTGAAAAATTTTTCCAAATCTCAGTGGCAAATTCCTTAGAATATGCTCAGATATGCGGTCACCAACTCTTCTTTCTGTTCTTCGAATGTGAGTTGGTAGATACGGTTGAAGGTAACACGAAGAGGAGACCTATCAACCTTTAATTGTCTCAGAGAGCAATTCATTCGGTAGAGTGCGATTAAACTAGTAACTAGATGACTCCTTTTTAAGACAGAATTTGCTCTGTAATTAATTCTACCGAGACCATCATCAGCTCTGAAACCAAGATTTAGGAAAACAAGCTTCTTATCAATTGTATCATACCCTACAGTTTTAGTCGGCGTATTTTTGGGCTTGTTGATGAATTCCTGTAGATAGTTGTTATTACAAAGGCAATTTTGTATAACAGACATTTCCTCTTCCAGCGTCTCCTTCGAATACAAACATCTTATGCTGTTGATTAGTGTTTTCATCAGCTCTTTCTTATGACAAAAGTTGTTGAAG